AGCCCGTGAGTCCTAGAATTCCTCTCAACTGCGTGAGACTTGTTGGTTTAGGCCAATCGACCATAGCCTCAATCTTTCGTGGATCAACCTTCACGCCCTCGTGTGATATGATGTGCCCTAGATACTCAACCATCTTCTGCCCGAATGAACATTTGGATGGCTTGATATGGAATGAGTTGACCTCCAAAATTTCGAGCACTACTCTTAAATGCCCAAGATGCTTGCCCCATGACTTCGAATAGATCAGGATATCATCAAAGAATACCAGAACGAACTTACGTAGATACTCCTTGAAGATAGAATTCATAGCGAACTGGAAAGTGGATGGGACGTTGCACAATCCGAATGGCATAACTAGATACTGATAGTGCCCCTGGTGCGTACGGAATGCTGTCTTTGGAATGTCGGCCTGATGGAGTCGAATTTGATGGTAACCAGCTCTCAGATCGAGCTTTGAGAAATAGCGTGACCCGGCTAACTCATCGAGCATGTCGTCGACACTCGGGATAGAAAATCGGTCCTTGATGGTTGCAGCGTTCAGAGCTCGGTAGTCAGTACAGAACCTCCACGTGTCGTCTTTCTTTTTGGCTAACAAGACTGGAGAAGAAAACGGACTCTTGCTATGCTGGATTAGTCCTGATTCTAGCATCTCGGCCACTTGCCGTTCGATCTCGGTTTTCTGAAAGTAAGCGTACCTATAAGGATGAACGTGTATAGCGTGTTGCTCGTTGATCAGTGGTATGCGATGATCGAACTCTCGGTGTGGGGGTAGTCCCTTAGGCTCGCCCAGTACTCCCTCAAATTTCTGGAGAAGCTCGTGCACATCTCCCTGCTGTTGCTCCTCTTGGTCTATGTGCGCCTCAGTTTTCTCCACTACTACTTGAAATATTTGGCCTCCACCCCGCCAAACTTTCTCAATGCTCTTAAGCCCTACCTCCTTGGTACCTTTTTCATTGCCAGTACTCAAAGTGACTTGCTAACCTCCAGAGTTAAACTCCATAATTCCTGTCCGATAGTCGGTGGTCACCTTGCCTAACCCTTCAAGCCACTGTACACCTAGGACGACATGCGGCCCAACCAGCGGTAAGGCATAGAGATCAGCCTTCACTGTAACTCCGCTGAACCTGATTGGCACCTTCCGGAAGGATTTGGTGCATTGCAGCCTCTCACCATTGGCTACTCGTACCTCAAAAGGCTTAATCTTCGTGGTTGGTAAGTTCATCTTCTGGGACAAGTCGGCATTGATGAAGTTGTGCGATGACCCGTTGTCCACTAGCACCACCACCTTCCGATCCTTGACTTAGGCCGGCAACCGCATCGTTCGAGGCCCTCTAACCCCGACCATAGCGTGCATTGAGATTTCTGCTTCTTCGTCGGGCCCCTCAACTTCAATATCCCGATGTGGTTCCTCCTCGTCCTCATATCCTTCCTCATCAGGATTAGCAACTTCGATCACAAAAGCTTGCTTACACTGATGACCTGGTGTAAATTTCTCCTCACACTTGAAGCATAAGCCTTTCTCACGTCGACGTTTAACTTCCTCGGCAGACAGCCGTCTCACTATCGACCCTGCTGGCCGATTGCTGATGTTCGGCCGTGCGCTGACCGTGGCTTGGTTCGGTCCCATGCGTCGCGAGTCCGCGAATCGCACATCCGCCCGTCCCCTTCGCGTAGCGACCAGATGGTCTTCTCGTCGACGGGCCACCTCCATGGCGTTATGCATCGTGCCTGGTCGCTCTAGCCGGACTTCTGCGGCTAGATCGAATCTCAGACCACCTACGAAGGCTCCTACTAGTGCATCCTCAGACCAATCTCGCACGCGACAGGCTAGTCGTTCAAACTCATTGATGTATTCACGCAAACTGCCTGTCTGTCGGATTCGTGCGAGGGCCTCATTATAATTATGGTAATCGGACGTGCCAAATCGTGTGAGCAATTCTCTCTCAAAGTCAGCC